TATGTGTGTGTGTGTGTGTGCGCGCGCGCGCGCGCGTGTGTTCATATATATGGCGGTAACCTTTACTCTGCTAGGGTTTTGGGAACTATGGCTGTGCGGCTCCTTCCTTCGTTTCCTATAAATTGTTGTGCTTTTATTGTCTTTGATGTACTGGTGTTTCTGCTCTCATTTACCGCATGGTGGGGTATTTTTTTTGTCCCCTTTTGAACTAGTATGTTACTATTCCATTGGATTGGCTCTCCTCTGTTTGTTTTTTGCCAATTCAAGTTGGTGTTTCTTGCTCCCTTGTTCTTTTTAATGTATCATGGATGCTTCCCTGCAAAAAGCTGACCACAACTATGTGGGTAAAACTTCTTATGTTGCAGTCACTTCTTCTAATGGATTGCATGGTGACATATTGGTGTTCCCTCAATCCTACCATGATGCTTTGGAGGTGATGGGGAAAGCTATCTTTTTAAGAAAGGCACAAAAAAGGGGGGTAAACACGCCCTCATCTTTCCTGAATCTGAAGTCTCTGATCTCTCAACCAAATGCAGTTTTTTCTTTGATTGGAAAATTCCAATTGGCTCATCCCAAAATGCATTTTATCAAAAAAAAAACCTTTGATGATTTCAAGCTATCAAGTTACTGGAAAGTGGGCTTATTTAATGGCAGAAATATCATGATACATTTGTCGAACGAGAAAGATTATGCATGAATCTTTTTTTCCAAAAAGCTCATTATTATTGATGGCATTCAGATGAAGTTGTTAAAGTGGACACCCAAGTTCGATCCTGGCAAAGAACTCTTCATTGTCCCAATCTGGTTTAGAATCCCTAGTTTGAAGCTTCATTATTTCAACCATAAAGTACTCTTCTCAATTGGTGCATTACTGGGTAGGCCTATGAAGCTTGATATATCCACTTTCAATCTGTCAAGACCCTATGTAGCTCGAATCCTTGTGGAGAGGGACATCACTCTTCCCCCCATTGATGAAGTCTGGTTAAGCACTAACCACAATGGTTATTGGCAACCTATGACTCTAGATTAGTCAATGTTTTTCGAAATGAATATATCACAATGGTTATTGACTAACCACATTGACACTAGATTAGTCAATGTTTTTTATGAACTTGAAAGAGGGTAAAGAATAGGATTGATCCTACTTGACACACACTATACATATATATATATATATATATATATATATATATACTTGACACAATACAAGTTTCGATTCTCTCTCCTTCTATTTTCAAGCATTTTTACTTCGATTCTCTCTCCTTCTATTTAAATGGAAGCTCTATGGGATCAATATGTTTGAATTATGTTTTACATTATAGTCAAAAGAATTTATTCATAAGCATTTCCAACTTCCCTATGGGATCAATATATAGGACTCCATTAGAACCCTTTATTACTTGAGTGATGCGTATACTTGCGTTATTATTATGGGTTTGGTAGTTTAAAGATTTTAAAAGATAAAATTATTTTTACTAAAGTTATTTCTATTTGGATTTGAATTGCATATTTATTACTAGCACTGTCGCGTGTGTGCTTTGTAATATTGAAAAATACTTACAAAAATTATTCACAATAAAAACTGCGCATCAAGTTTTTGGCACCGTTGTCGTGGAAGTAATGGAAAGCAACGGTAAATTTTTTTGTAATTTAGAACGTTTTATTTGAACTGAAAAATTTTTTGTAGTTTAATTTGAATATTTTCAAACTTTAGTGTGTTTGCTTACTTTAATTGCTTATTGTGTTTGTTTATGCGTAGTTTAAGATCAGAAAATTTAATACCTTACGATTCAGAGTTAGAAAGAACAATTAAAAAAATTCGAAAAAAAACAAAAAGAGATAGATAATTTTAGCGGAATGGCTTGCAATTCATGTAATTTTGGAAATAAACATCATCAGAGACCTTTAAGAGATTTATCAGAGACCTTTAAGAGATAGACCTTTAAGAGATTTTGTTAATCCTACAACAAATGAAATTCATTTGAGTATACAAAATCATGTTGTAGCTGCCAATTCATTTGAGCTTAAAATTGCTATTATATGAATGGTACAAAACAATCAATGTGGGGGAACACCAACTCAAGATCCTAACTTACACCTTGCTAGTTTTCTAGAATTGTGTGCTACATGTAAATATGATAGAGGGTCCAATAATGTTGTTAGACTTAGACTTTTTCATTTTTCATTAAGAGATAAAGCTAAGATGTGGTTAAACACGTTAGCACGTGGATCTATCAGAACTTGGAGAAACGTATCATAAAATTTTTTATCTAAATATTTCCCACCCTAAAAAATTGCTAAGCTTATAAATGATATTACATCTTTTTTGTCAGTTTGAAGGGGAATCAATTTATGAAGTTTGAGAAAGATTTAAAGAACTCCTTATGAAGTGTCCACACCATGCGTACTAGATTGGTTAATAATTCAAATTTTTAGTTTTGATAGTTGTTTTGTTGGATCTCTTAGATCGATAATTGATGCTGCTGCTGGTGGATCATTAATGTCAAAATCATTTGATGAAGCAGATTTGTTAATTAAAGAGATGACTACTAATAATTTTCAATGGGCCTCTGAAAGGGTAAATCCAAAAAAGTAGCTAGTATTCATGATTCTGATGCAATATCTATATTGACTGCCCAAATAGTTGTTATACGTAGAAGTTAGATCAATATAGAATGAATTATTCATAGACACCACCTGTGTTTAAGGAAAACTCATTGGGAAAATTTATAGAATATCAATCTTCTTATGAGACTTTAAATGCAATAAATAATCGTTGTAACAATTCTTATGCCAATTATTATAATCTTGGTTGGAGAAATAATCCAAATTTTAGTTGGACTAATAAAAACTCTAATGTTGTAAATCCTCAATGGGGAAACAATGATGCAAACCCATTGAGAAACTCCAACAATCAATGAAATCCAAATTATAAACTTTATTACCCTCCAGGTTTTAATAGTAATTGGCAGAGTCAGGAGAAGAATTTGTCAATGGAAGAATTAATATTGCAAATGGGAATTCAATTACAAAGTCAAGAAGCTTCAATTAAAAACATGAAAAATAAGTTAGGAGTATTACTACTGTACTTAGCAATAGACCTCCAAGAATGTTGCCTAGTAATGTTGAAGTAAATTCTAAAGATCAGAAAAAAGAGCAGATTAAGCTATTCAACAGAGAAGTGGAAAAGAATTGGAAACCAAAGTTCCAAAAGAAGTGGAAGTTGAAGTTGAGAAAGAAGAGGTAGAAAATGAAAAATCTGGTGAAGATTTTTATTTTGAGTCAGAATGTCCCATTAAACTCCTATTAAGCCAATGAAAATCATGGAAGAAAAACCACCACCTCCATTTTCTCAAAGATTGAAGCAGAAAAACCAAGATAACAAATTTTCAAAATTTTTGGAGATATTGAGGAAATTAATAATAAACATTCTATTTGTTGAAGCTTTGGAACAAATGCAAATTTATGTAAAGTTCATGAAGGATATACTTAATAAGAAAAGAAAGTTTGTAGATAAAAGTTTGTAGATAATGAATTTGTAGATAATGAAACTGTTGCACTTAGTGAGAAGTGTAGTGCTATAATTCAGAAGAAGCTTCCTAAAAAATTTAAAGATCCTGGTAATTTTACTATTCCTTGTGCTATTTGGCGAAAGATTTTTTGAAAATGCTTTATGTGATATAGAAGTCAGTATTAATCTTATGCCTCTATCAATTTTTAGAAGGTTGGGTTTAAGAGAAATTTCACCTACAACTGTAATGCTTCAGTTAGTTGATTGTTTGATTACCTACCTACAGGAGTTATAAAAGAAGTTTTGGTAAAGATTGATAAATTTATCTTTCTTGTGAATTTTATTATATTAGATATGGAGGAAGATAAAGAGATTCATATCATTTTAGGAAAACTATTTCTTGCCACTGGAAGAGCATTGATAGACGTGCAGAAAGGAGAACTAACTATGAGAGTTAGTGATCAAGAGGTTACGTTTAATATTGCAAAATCAATGAGATACCCTACAAAAGAGCGAGACATTGAAGACATTGAATGCTTCAGAATATATTGAATGCTTCAGAATATATATTAATGAATATTTAAGCCATAAATATTTTATGAAGACATTTGAAAAGATAATTGAAAAAGAATATCTGGAATATGAAGATAAGGATAAAATTTAAGATGAATCTATGGAAGTGAGTAATGAAGATTTGGAAATGAAGATAAGTGAGTAATGAAGATTTGGATTATGTTCAGGAACAATTTGAATTGTTAGATCCTACAGAAAATAATGAGAATTTGATTTCATCTATTCAGAAACTTCCTGAACTAGAAATGAAAACACTTCCTACACATTTAAAGTGTGTATTTTTAGGAGATTTATTCACATCTCCTATTATTGTATGCTCAGAATTAACTGATATGTAAGAAAGAAAAAAATGTTGGAAATTTTGAGAAGATATAAGAAAGCCTTTGGATATACATTAGCTGATATTAAATGAATCAGCCCTTCAGTTTGTATGCATAGAATTTTATTGGAAGATCATCATGAACCAAGAGCTGGTGATGAAAGAAGTTTTCAAGAAAGAGATTTTAAAATGGTTAGATGCTGTAATAATATATCCTATTTCAGACAGTGCTTGAGTGAGTGTAATTCACTGTGTTCCTAAGAAAGGAGGTGTGACTGTTGTGATAAATGAGAACAATGAATTAATACCAACAAGACAAGTCACTCGATAGTGAATCTGCATAGATTATAGAAAATTAAATTC